ATGGTTCTCCATTTCCCAACGTCGGCGATCGGTCATCGGCTGTGACTCCCGTCAGCCTTCGACCTTTCCTCTTGCCTTTCTGCCTGATGAATGATAGACCATGACCTTTTCTCTGGTGTCGGTGCGGCTAGTTGTCGGTACTGCCGCCCCTGCCTTGACCTTTCCTCCTCATGGTACCTTGGCCCATCCCAGCTCGGCGTGGCCTTGTTGTTTCTGCCCATGGCACGCAAGTGGCCGGTGGCTTTGTCTGTCTGTCTCGTCATCTGTTCACTCTGTCTCCGTGTCTTCGGCTCTTTGCTGTTGTTGTTCTCTTCTCGGCTTTCTCCCCCACCCCCCCTGGCCTAGTCTGGCTTGGATTGGGCGGTCCACTCGTCTTTGGCCCTTTTCTCATCATCTGGTTTCTCCGACTCGTGGTTCTCTGGATTCATGGTGTTTCCGTTCGTCCCCATTCCCGCCCATCTCCCACCGTCCTGGCCCTTTACTTCCCAAACCATCCATCCATGCCCGTGAACACCCCCCCTCGCCATCTCATTGATCATGACCCACCGTTCTGATGCCGGACGTGAACGTGAACCCCCCCCCCACCGCCTCCCCCCTTCCACTTCCCCTTCCTGGCTCCTCCAGGCCTTCCCTCGTCCCCGTGCCCGTCTAATGATAATCTCTTTTCTTGGTGGTGAGCCCATCCAGCTTGCTTTGCCGGATGATGCCTGTCTGTGCCCATTCCCATTCCCTTCCCTTTTCCTTTCCCCTCCTCCATCCATCCATCCCCCTTCCCGTCTCCCGCTTCCCCTTCCCCTGTGCCCATTACCCATTGCCTTTGGGCCCCGTTTTTCTCCTTTGCATTGCCTTGCCTTTCCCCAGCAAGGCAGCTCTTATGCTCGCTCGCCCGGAAAAAAAAATAAACCCAAGCGCGCGACCGACCGGTTTCTGGTCTCGCCAAAAGTGTAGCCATCCCCATCCCTCTTTCGACCACCCATTTCCCTTTCCACTTTCTCTCCTCGACAACTCACCACAACGCTCCCCCATCGACGTCCGATTCTTTCGTTCATCAAAACGGCGTCATCGTCTCGACCATTTCATCGTAGAAAACGGTGCATCGTCTTCGTCGCACGCGGCTGCTTCTGCTCATCGCATCAGTGAGCGACAGACGCGCTAGCTAGGCCCTTTTTTCGCGGGTCAACGTCATTTCAACACGGTCGTCAAAAGAGACGCCGCGCAGCAGCCCAGCGCACTTGAGGCTATTCCCAGAGGTCCACCTTTCCAACCCTTCCTCCGCCAGCAACGCCAACCAGCCAACCAACAACCAACAACCAACCACCCGCCCTCCTCGGCGACTCCGCACCAGCCAGGCCGCAACCATCAGATTTGCTGCTTCCCACCCCGTCCCAATCTGCACCGTCACTCTTGCGCCTGCATCGCCTCCGGCCGGCCAGCCAAACGCACCACCCTAGGCCACATCTTACCTAATCCCTAATCCCCCCCTCCCCCCCTTTCCCGCATTCCGGCCCGCGACTGCATTGGAGGAGCCTCCACACCGAACCAAAAGTGAAGTCATTCGCGACGACGCATCTGAACATTTCACAAGCCACTTCATTCGCGATACACGCGCCGCGCTAACAGGCTTTGCTCTGTCAAGTGCATGTGTCGCCGTCTGCTCGCTCCAACCAAACTTTGATCAATCGCATCAAGGTTTTGAAGCGAAACAGGCGCAACAACCCCACCCCCGGTGTCCTTCCCCCCCTAGTATGGCGCCTGGAGGAGACGCGCCAACGCGTGACAGCTCATCTCCCGGTCTCTCCTCGCCTCCCTCCGGCTCCCTATCCGAACCCGGCTCACCACTCAAACACATCAACCACCACAGTCGAACCAGCATGGATATGGACGAGATCATCGTCGACCCCTCGCAGCCCAGGTTTGGCGTTGCACCACCCACAACACCCCAGCCCGAAGTCCGCCTCACAGCAGCGGGCCTGCCGAGGAAGAAGCCCGGCCGCAAACCTGGCTCGACCTTGAAGCCTAAGAACCCCGATGACCCGCCCAAGGTTCGAAAGCCCAGGAAGCCCAAAGACCCCAACGCCCCGCCCATTCAGCGAAAACGCAAGTCCGCCCCTGCCCAGGATGAACCGGTCGAACCTGCCGACTCCAAGTCCCTCGCTGCTTCCGCTTCTGCCTCTGCCTCTGCCTCTGCCTCCGCCTCTGCCTCCGCCTCGGCTTCCTCATCGCGTCAACATCGCATCTCCGACATCGTCGACATTGACTCGGCCGATTCGGGAACCCGCACACCGTCGGCCCAAGACTACGTCTCCCAAAAGGCCCCCAAGCGGGAAGAGCTGCCGAGGTCGATGCAGAGCATACTCAACTCCGACCCGGAGCCTCTGTCGAGGCACCCCTCCAACGGAAGCACGACGCTGCCCACGCGAACGAGCGGCCAGAGCTATGACCCCATCCGCGGCAACTACGACCCCGTGCGAGGCATTTTCGGCAACGCCACCTCGCCACGGCCGCCGACATCCACCCTCAACCGCGCCAGCGCGTCGCCCTCGATCGCCAGTCTCGTCGAGCCTGTCCGCGGCGTCGCCGCCTCGCCCTCCCAACAACAGTCCTACCAGCAGAACCACGCGCAATCTCGCGTCGAGTCGGCCCCCACATCGCCCCTCTACCACCACGCCCGCCCTGCGCCCCAGCCCATGGCCAAGCCCGCGCCGCCCGACGCGACGAAAGCGACCGCAGCACCGCCTTCCGTCTCGGCCGGCAAGTCGGAGCCCAAGTCCCGCGAAGTCCCCTTGGCCACCGGCATCACGGCGCTGAAAAAGGCGAACAAGGCCAAGTCGAGCACGGCAGCCTCGTCACCGAAGAACACGATGGACGACCCGACGATCCTACCGACCGACACGAACCGCTCGATTCTCGACTTTGGCAAGGCGGAGCCCGGCAAGGACTTCCAGGCGCCCTCGATCGTTCTGCACATTCCCCTCCAGGTGGGCGAGACCAACAAGTATGTCAACTTTATGCGCGAAGCCGAGGAGCGCTACGGCTGGGACGCACTGCATCCACGCGTCGCCGCGCAGCGCGACCGCAAGGCACGCATCGCCGCGGCATCGGCGGCGCTCGAGAAGACGGCGTCAGGGCAAGAGTCGGGCGACGACGCCTCGTCCGACTCGGACAACGAGGCGAGCAATGCCGAGATGGGCGGCATGACGAGCGGGCAGGACGTCGTGGCACAGCCCAAGAAGAAGAAGAGGAATTTCAAGGAGGACCAGTACGACAAGGAGGACGACTTTGTGGACGACTCGGAGATGCTCTGGGAAGAGCAAGCTGCCGCGAGCAGGGACGGCTTCTTCGTCTACTCGGGACCGCTGGTGCCGGAGCCCGAGAAGCCTGCCACGAGACCGTACGTCACTTTTTCGCTTCTTCGGGAGACGAGGCCTGGTATGCTGACCTATGCACAGAGATGGACTGCCGAAGCGTGGACGTGGCAGTCGCGGCGGGCGCGGCAGCCGGGGCGGTTCGCGCGGCAACCGCGAGGGCGGCGAGGGCAGCACGCGCGGTGGCGGACCGGGGTCGCGCGGCGGCCCGGGATCGCGCGGCGGGCGCGGGTCTCGAGGCGGCGCGCTCACGAGGAAGCCGCGCATCACAAAGTCGGAGAAGGAGCAGCTCGAGAGGGAAAAGGCCGAGAGGCAACGGGTGGCCGAGATGAACGCCAAGGGAAGCGGCAGCTACGTGTTTCAGCCGCAGACGCCGTCGCTCGCGGTCGGGACGGCTGGCGCATAGCGTGCGCCGGACTACGGACTTGCGAGCATGATGCGGCCGGCGCCCGACGCGGCCGCGCTGGGCGTCGCCACGCGGTCCCAGATGACGAGGATGGAGCGGGATGCTCCCTGGGAGCGGGATGCTCCCTGAGGACTCGAGTGATCGTGGCTTGCTTTCTACGGACTGCCGCTGAGAGGCAGGCTGCCGCCGAGGGACAGGCAGCCGCCGAGGGGCAGGCAGTGGTGTTGTGGGTGTTTTTGGAGTGGTCGTCGTCATGCATGTGGGCGGCGTCTTCATGTACATTGGCCATGGTGCTGGCCGGCCTGCCACTGGGTGTTTTGACTGATTCTTCTGGCCGACATGGCGTGCGCGGTCCTGGTCTGGACTGCGCTTTGTGTTTATGAGTAGCGAGCGGCGTTGGGGGCTGCTGGAGCTGGGCGCCTGGGCATGCAGGTGTTCGAGGCGGTGCGATAGAGTAATTAAGGCATTGTCATGAATAGGCAGTCGAAGAGAGCAACACATCCCAAAGCATCCAAAGCATGGCGTGCTCCGAGCCACGAGCTGTATGCATGTGGTCTCGCCATGGATGAGACTGACCTCTTGCCTGTGGTCTCGCCATGGAGGAGACTGGCCTCTTGCCTGTGGTCTCGCCAAGTGGAGTGCACGTCATGGAGGCTCTCTGGACCCTGACCCACAGATCGATTACACCGCCCAGCGCCCAGCGGACGCAGCGGGGCTCAGGCACGGCGGTACCTAGGTACTTGGGCCCCTAGGCAGGATGACAAAAGCCACTCCTCCAAGGTACATGTAAGCTCATTTTGAACCGTTATACTGTGCATTTGACAGGCTTCAAATGACTGAAAGTACATGAATACTCATAGAAGTACAGAAAACTGCCCAGCCTCTACGACGTTCGAGTATTGGATAGCGCTCGTAGGTATGAAAGGGTTGAGGCCCGGGTCTCGCGCGTACCGACACGGCGAGAGACGATAAGATAAGCCCGCCAAGAGTTCGCACACGCATCTCCACCCGCCAGAAAATTTCAAGAGGGCGGTGGGCAGATCCCGGCCAGTGGGAAGGCGCCCGCCGGCTGTGTCTCTTTCTGCTCGGATTCCCCTTCCCGCCTTCTTTTTTTACCTGAGCGTCCTCTTGCCACTTTTGTGACTGCCCTGCCTGTTTGCTTGCCCGACTTTGCAGCACGTACTTGAGGTGTGTGATTCGCAGAAGACGACGAGAAAGAGGACATTCCGTTGGGACAGGAAGAGGACATTTGACGTTGGGACAGGATGACGGATTCGTCGCTGCAGGTTCGTTGCCCGCCCCGTCTTTTGGTTTTTTTTTGCCCTTGGGCCTGCCTGCGTGCTGGCCGTCTGCTGCGCCCCCCCGCCATGCGAAAGAGGAGGACTATACACAATGGAGGAGAAAGGGACGATGCAGAGAAGACGATGCAGAGAAGACGAAGCACGAATAGCAGAGCTGACTGATTGCCCTGCGTAGGATCGCTTGCGCGACCATGCAAAGGCCTTTGACGGCCTGCTGTCGCTGATCCCGGCCAAGATGTACTATGGGGAGGATACCTCTGTATGTTCCACCCTCTCTTGCACCTCTTTCCACCCTCTCCTCCTTGCAACGAAATCTTCCCCTCGTTGAAAAAGTCTTGTTGAAAAGCCTTGGCCTCCTGCATCACAACACCCCCGCTCACACCCCCAGGACCAGTGGAACCGCAAAAAGCAGACCAAGGCCGAGGCAAAGGCCGCCCGCATGGGCAAGCTCGACCCCGACAGCGACCGCAACCGCAACGCAAAGGACGTCATGGAGGAGCGCGCCAAGCACAAGCGCAAGCTGCAGGAGATGGAGGACGCCGAGCAGGCGGCGCTGCCCCAGCCGGTGCCCGCCGTGGAGGGGGAGGAGGACAAGGCGCCGAGCACCACGCAGCAGGGCCAGGACAACGACAACGACAACGACGCCGCCCCCGGCGTCGTGCAGGAGACGCCCGGCCAGGGCCTCAGGAGACGGGACCTCATCGCGAATAAGAAGCTCAAGATCGACCGCGACTTTGAGCAGGATACCCTCGTCGGCGTCAGCGATGCCAACCCCGCCGACATGACGCAGGATCAGCTCATGAAGCTCGCGAAGCGCGATGGCCAGAAGGCGGACCGCAAGGCCAAGCAGGCGCGGCAGGCGGAGAAGAAGGCGAAGAAGCTGGCGGCCAAGGAGGCTGCTGCTGCTGCTGCCAGCCAGAAGGCGACGGAGGAGCTGGTCGAGGCCAGCGAGCCAGTCAAGACCGAGACAGTCAAGGCCGAGACGAAAAAGGGCACCGAGGCGAAAAAGGCAAAGGAGCAAAAGCCCACAAGCAAGACAGCCGCCAAACCCCCGTCAGACGACGGCTACGAGACGGTCGACTCGGAGGCGGAGACCGGCAAGCCCAGCCTCGACATGGCGGGCCTCGAGGAGAAGCCTGCATCCACAGCATCCAGCCCCCGCTCCCCCTCGCACTCGCCCGTGTTCGACGACGCCGCGGCACCAGCCTCGGGCAGCGCGGCCACGTCGGTCGACGTGCCCCCCTCCGACAAGCCCAAGCAGCTCAAGATCCCACAGGACACATCGGCGCTCAAGGCGCGTCTCGCGGCGCGCATAGCGGAGCTGCAGGCGGCGCGCAAGGCCATCGGGCCGGACGGCAAGCCGATCCGCACACGGCAGGAGCTCATCGAGGCGCAGCGGGCGCGCCAGGCACAGCGGAAAGCGCACAAGCAGGAGCAGCGGCGCCAGGCGCGGCTCGAGGAGGAGAGGCAGCGCGACGAGGCGCTCGCGTCCAACTCGCCGTCCATCATGTCGCCGGCGCTCGACCACCTCCTCGGCGACGGCGCCGCCGAGCCGCCGACCGACTACACGTTCGGCCGCGTCGCCTTTGACGACGGCACGCGCATGTCGCGCGACCTGACGCACCTCCTCGGCACCCGCAAGAAGAAGGGGCCCTCGGACCCCAAGACGGCGCTCCTGCGGCTGCAGAACCAGAAGAAGAAGCACGCGGCCCTCGACGACGCGCGGCGCGACGACATTGCCGAGAAGGAGACGTGGTTGACGGCGCGCCGGCGCGCCGAGGGCGAGAAGATCCGCGACGACGAGGCGACGCTCAAGAAGACGATCAAGCGCAAGGACAAGCAGAAGCGCAAGAGCGAGAAGGAGTGGAAGGACCGCACAGAGGGCGTCGCCCACGCCAAGGCCGAGAAGCAGAAGAAGCGCGAGGCCAACCTCAAGAAGCGCAAGGACGACAAGAAGCTCGGCAAGGCCGGCCGCAAGGTCGTCAGCGCCGCCACCAAGAAGAAGGGCCGCCCCGGCTTCGAGGGCGGCTCGTTTGGCGGCAAGAAGAAGAAATGAGGCGGCTGTCGCTGTCGGCTGCTCGGCTGCTCGTCTGCTCGTCTGAAGGGGGAGAAAAAAGGGAGGGCATAGCGGGCCCTCCCCCCGGCGCCGTGTAGGATGTGTGAGCGGATCGAGCTTTGTTCTTTCGCAATGGGCGTTGGCGGCGCTGTCCACATATCTTTTGGTTTTTGGGTTTTGGTCTTCATCTTCTTCGTTACCATGCTGCATCATGAAAAAGGGGGGGAGGGGAGGCGGCGGAAATAACTAGCCATGAATCGAGACATGTCACTTTGCCGATTCTTCTCGTGTTCTGTTTGCTAAACGGCCTCGTTCACCAAGCATGATCGCTTCTCCAAAGCTCAGTCGTGGCCATGGGCCATCAAACAGCCGAAAAAACAGGACCACAAGTCATACCCATATCATGACACAGCACGCAAAACAAGGCACACCAGGAAAGAAAAGAAAGCTTGAGAATAGAGAACAACACAGGAGCTAGGTCACGACATGATCCCACGTCCCTCCCTTCGCCTTGGCTACATTTCGAAATTCGACTCTGCCAGCCCCCCCCAACTAGCACCTCAAGGGAATACACCCCTTGCTGCCCATCATGACCGCCTCTCCGTGATCCACCCTTTCGTCCTGTCCCTTCCTCCTTCTTTCGTCCGCCGTCATTACTTCGCAACTAATTTTTCATGGCCTCACTTTTGATCGATGGGCTGGAGGGTCGGGGAGGCGTGGGTGTCGGAACGTGGGACTTCACGAGGTGTGCAGCCCATGAGGTTTGCAGCACATGAGGCGTGCAGCCCATGACGCGAAAATGTTTTGTTTCAAATGGTCGTCAGCCCGGCTATGTCGCCAGGCCCGCTGTGTACGGTAGGATGAAGTCGGAGTTTACAGCAGGGAGTCGAGGCGGGTGAAGACGCTGAGGCACGCGGCGACGACCTCGAGCTGGAGTTCCTTGTCCTTGTTGTTGTTGCATTCCTGTGCGCTCGTCAGCAGTCTGCAGTGAGGGGGTGGCAACAGTCATCGTACCTCGGCCACCGCCTGGGGCAGGTTGGCGCCAATGCCGTTGTTGACGGCCTTCTTGCCAAAGGGCCACTGGCTGTAGTCGGCGAGCAGCTCGTCAGTCTGAGCAAAAGCGCGCTCGCGGGCCTCGTGGCCGAGCGGCGTCAGGGCGTTCTCGAGCACGTTGGCGGCATAGGCGGCGCAGACCATGGCCAGGGTGCGGACGTAGCGGAAATCGAGGCTCTCGGGGAGGAACTGCGACGGGGGCAGGACGATGGTGCGCTGGGTCAGGACGAGGCGTACACGGCGGCGGATCTCTTCCTTGGCGCCGCCATCGGCGACGGGGTGCGTGGCCATGTCGAAGAGGAGGAAGTTGCGCTTCTCGGTGCGTAGGATGCCCTTGTCGACGAGACCCTTGGCGAGGCGCTCGCGCACTTGTTTTAGTTGGTAGCCAATCTTCATGAGGTTCCACGTCTCGCCTGTGTTCCGTTAGCCGACTTCTTTCTCTCTGCCCCTTCGATCCTGACGCATGGTGGTGCTTACCGCTCATCAGGTCCACCCAAGAGCTGACGCTCATCTTCTCGCTCTGCTTCATCATCTTGAGGGCCTCGTCGAGGAGAACCTCGCCTGTCAGGGTATCGTCGATCACTTCGATGAGGCGGTCGGCGAGGGGAAAGCGCCGCCTCGAGGGGTCCTTCTGCATGCTGACGCGGCCGCGAAGGGCGAGCTCGAGGACGATGCAGCCGCGGAGGGCATACGAAATGTTGTCGTTCCAGAAAGAGAGGTATCCCTGCATTGCGTCTGGTCAGTCACATTGGGCCCTATCCTCTGGCCCCGTGCCATCGGTCGGCGCAGATTCGTCCCAAAGGGAGAGAGGAAGAGAAACCGACCTGCTTATCCTTGAGGCCCAGCAGCAGGACCTCCTCCATGAGGGTCAGCTTGGGCTGTTTGCTGCGCTCGGCACTCTCGCTGATGTCACGAGGGTCAAAAGCAATCTTGTGGCCGTTCTCGCCGCTCTCATAGCTCGTCTCGGGGGCGCTGTCGCGGAAGTTGGAAGAGCTGTTTGTACGGCTGGCGGCGTTGCTGGCGCCCTCGCCTGTCTCGTTGCCGGGACCAGCGCCGCCACCGCCTCCGCCGCGGCGCCGCGTGAGACCGCCTTGCGCTGCTGACATGGCGATATGTCGGTTCTGGAAAGGGGGGATGTTGTTTGTCGAGGTGTGAGCCGTGGGGGGTGGTGCCTAAAGTCCAGTCGGCGGCGGTATCTTGGGGACCCGCTCGTAAAAGGGTGTCAGGCTCGCTGTCTGGTGGTATGGCCGCGGTGCAGATGCGGCAACGGGTGGGCAGTCGGCGTTATGCGATGGGTGTCGGGGCAGCTCCAGACCGAATTGTGAAGGGTGCGTCTTGAGCTAATGCTGGACCACGCGTTCGATGGGTGGACAGGTAATGAGGCGATAGTGCAGAGGTACCCTGAATACTGACTCGAGGGGCGCCGTGGGTGTGGCAGCGGGAAGATCGGTGTGCGGACAGGGCTCCCAAGGGCTTATCGGAAAGGGTCGGCAGTGATCCCTATCCAATTCGGTGGATGAGGGTTGATGGGGGGTGGGAGAAAGGGAGGCGATTAAGGAATCGACAATGTAGGTTCGTGTCGTGTGCCAAAGGCGTGTCGTATCACGGGGTTTGGGGGGGGGGGGCCTTCTCCTGAAGATTTGGGGCCAGGGAATTTCTCGCAGCCTGTACTTGTCCGATGCTCCTACCCTGCCTTCTTTCTCTTGCTGGTGCTGGCTGCTGGCTGCTGACTGCTGACTGTTGACTGCTGGCACCTGGCGCAGCTACGGGAGGCCCCTAGCGAACTGCACCCACTGCACCTGTGCACCTGCTGCACCTGCTGCACCATCGGGGCCTCACTTTGCACGTCTCAATTTACACGCGCACCAGCCCCATGCACGGGCCAAGAGGCTGCACGTTTTGGCCTGTCGGTTTGTTTCAGCAGCCCAACAACGTTTCTGTCTGCTGGACGCTGACTGCTCCAGGGCCGCATTAGCGGGACACATTATTAGCTTTTCGGTCTCTACCCTTTTCAAGGGAGAAAGGTTAACCAAAGACGGATACTCTATGATTTTTTATTTTTATTTTTTCGACATTTTACTTTCCCAGCCACGGCTATGCCCTCAGAACTGTCAATTGTAGAGTCAGCAGCTGGATCAAGTCGACTGCCACAGCACCGTAGTGTTGACAGACCCACAAATGCCAATTAAACTGTGTGAGCCTTTGATTCGACAGCACGAGGCACAGTCGCCACGACCCTTTTCCCCTTTGCTAACCCACATCTCGATGCCATGCTTGGTTCTCTCGACAGCGTAGGCAGATAAGCGTGACCGATAAGACGATACGCCGCAGGGTCCTTGGAAAAAGCTTGGCGATCTTACGTCTGTCGCATCCCTCGCTTGTCGCCTCTACCCAGCAACAGGACTACCCAGCAACAGGACCAAACCTTGGGATGTAACTCGGCAAAGCTAGCTAGAGCAAAAAAGTCTGTCGACACAAAGGCCCAACATCTGGGTTGTATGCCATCGGTGGCAAGACATCATCTCTCGTGTCACGAACGAAGATAATGATGAGCGAGCGCCACCGCTTGCACGTGGCACGGCCAGAGCAATCTCAGAAATGAAACCAGTCGTGTGCACCTTGCGGGTTGCGACGCTTGGCGGGGAAATTCACATGTCTACCTCATCTCTGCCGGAGCAGGCCTTGATCACATGAGCACGAGTCACCAGTGTGTATTGCGAAAAGTCCCTGATGGAAACCTTCAGTTCGTATTCGACTCTCATTCTCCCAGTCATCATGAGCTCCCCATTGGATGCCGGGCAAACCGTACAATCACCGTCCAATGCCTAGTTCCGTAAGGTAGGTATAGGTACGCAGCATCCATCCATAACAATAAGGCACACAGGTAGCCACATTGACCCCGCCAAACGATAGGAGCCACGCTTGGGCAGCATCGCCCGCCCACTGCCATCCACTGCCTGCCACAGCAGCGCAGTGGGAGGGGAGGGGTCGTACCCGCGAATCCCTGTCCTGATTGGCGGCTGGGGCCAGAGCTCCAGGGGCCTGCCGAGCCTAAGCCTCTTTTCCTCCGCCCGCCGTCCGCCGGCAGTCCAGTGGCAGGCCCCCAAGGCCCCTAGGAGATCGCGGCGGGGCGATCGGCCAGCTGCCATCAGCCGCCAGGGTACCTCTGTGCTCCGGCGCTACCTGCCTCGACCCTTACTTGGCACCTGAAGGGAGGCAGGCAGGTACCTACCTGGCCAAAGTGTGCCGCCAGTGTACCTGCCTGTCAGACCAGCATCCAGCAACCAGCGACGGGCGACCGACCGACGGCAGGGAAAAATCCTCTATCACAAAAATCCCAAATCCGCCTTCGCCGCGTTCCCCTTCTTTCCCTTCCACTCCTCCTCCAGCAGCCCACATCACCACACACCGGTTCGCGCCAACCTTTCCCCTCTCCCCTCCCCCTCTCCCCCTTTGGGTGTCTCCCATCTTCTTTCTCTCCCGCCCCAGACGTTCTACGGATTTTTTTTCTTCTCCCCACCATCCAGACTCTCTCCTCCACCGACTCCCGCCTCACCCAGCAGCCGGCCGATCGATCGATACCTCATCGCCATCGCTATCGCCCTCGCTCGCCCACCGCCAGACACCTCATCTTCTTCCCACGCCTTCACCGAAGTCATCAGGCTCTCCAGCACAGGCAAGCTTCTTCTTGTTGCTTCAGGTCCGCCGACGAGACAAACTTGGCTCCCGCATCCATTCTTGGACGCAGCTAGGATACCCAACCCCCGCCCCATTGCTCGGTCAGAACCACCAGTCAAAAGACGACGACGACCCCAAACCAAAAGCGAACACACCTCGAACCGAAAGATTAGCTCTTTTGTGTCGAATTATCAGAAGTCCACGGGCAAACCAAACTCCAGCCACCTCACAAAGCCATCTTTGCGAAAGAAACAAGAAGACCACCAAGAAAAATCCAACCGATTCCTCCCCCCTCCCTTCAAAAGAACGTTCTCTCCCGCTGCAACCTCTCGACTCTCTGCAATCGACTTGCGCTGTACTTTCACTAGTCATGGCGTCCCCTTTGCAGTTTGCCTACCGAACCCAGAAGCACATTGGTGTCACCGATGCCGCGCCCGTCTATGCGCCGCTCGCTGGGTTCACCAACCCCGAAGGGAACAACCGGTGTTGTGAGTACTCACCCTGTGGTCGCTATTTCGCCTGGGCCGATCCCAAGCTCGTCTCCGTTGTCAATGCTGCCGACGGCACCCCCGTGCTGTCCCTGCCCATCGCCAATGTCTACGAGCTCGGCTTCTCGCCCCTCGGCACCTTTCTCGTCACCTGGGAGCGCCCTGGCAAGGACGAGAATGGCGATGCCACCAAGAACCTGAAGGTCTGGCGCACCATCGAGGACGGTGTGCCCGCCGAGGAGAAGCAGCCCCTGGGCCGCTACGTCCAAAAGTCTCAGGGAGGCTGGAACCTGCAGTACACCGCCGACGAGAAGTTCTGCGCCCGCCAGGTCACCAACGAAGTCCAGTTCTACGAGAGCCACGATCTCGGCACCGTCTGGAACAAGCTGCGCGTCGAGGGTGTCACCACCTTTGCCCTTGCGCCTAGCAACAACCACTCTGTTGCCGTCTTCATCTCGGAGCGCAAGGTATGAATATCGTCAGGACCATCTCATGTTTGACTCGTTGATGCTGACTGATCCCTCGTAGGGCCAACCCGCCGCCGTCAAGGTCTACAGCGTCCCGCAGTTCGCTCAGCCCATCTCCCAGAAGACCTTCTTCAAGGGCGACAAGGTCCAGCTCAAGTGGAACAACAAGGGCACGAGCCTGCTTGTGTTGGCCCAGACCGACGTCGACAAGTCGAACAAGAGCTACTACGGCGAGACGACCCTGTACCTGCTGAGTGTCAACGGCTCCTTTGACGCCCGCGTACCCCTCGACAAGGAGGGCCCCATTCACGACGTGACGTGGTCGCCTAATTCGAAAGAGTTTGGCGTCATCTACGGCTACATGCCCGCCAAATCGGTCATCTTCAACCACCGTGCCGTCCCCACCCACTCGTTCCCCCTCGGCCCCCGCAACACCATCATCTTCTCGCCCACCGGCCGCTTCGCCCTGCTCGCCGGCTTTGGCAATCTGGCAGGCCAGATTGATGTGTACGACCTCGAGAAAGACTTCCGCAAGGTCACGACTATCGAGAGTGGCAACCCGAGCATCTGCGTCTGGAGCCCCGACAGCCGCTACATCCTGACCGCCACCACGTCCCCTCGTCTCCGTGTCGACAACGGCGTAAAGCTGTGGCACGTTGGCGGTAGCATCATGTACAATGAGGACATGACTGAGCTGTACAACGTTCTGTGGAGGCCCATGGCCCTGGATGCCGTGGCCGGCGGCGACCCTCTGAGCCCCGTGCCCACGCCTCACTCGTCGGCGACGACCTACCTCGGCACCATCAAGACGCCTAGCAAGCCCGCCGGTGCCTACCGCCCCCCCGGCGCTCGTGGCCTCGCCACGCCTCTGCACTTCAAGCGCGAGGACGAGGGCGGCTCAGTTCATGTCGTGGGCAGTGGCTACGGTCCGACCAACGGCGCGACGCCCATTGGAGCTAACGGCTTCGGTCGTCCCCGTCGCGGCGTTCCAGGTGCTGAGTTTGCCCAGGGTGTGCCCGGTGCCGCGCCAGCCATTCCGGGCGCCGCGCCTGTCGATGGCGATGAGAACTTGTCAAAGGCGGCGCAGAAGAACAAGAAGAAGCGAGGCGGCCGCAAGGGCAAGGACGGCGAGGGTGAGGGTCAGCCGCAGGGCCAGGGCCAGCAGCACGGTCAGGGCCGTGGAGACGGCCGCAGTCACGGCCGCGAGGGTGGATACGCTAACGGCGGAGCCTCTCTGGCGCCTCCCTCGCACGACCACCGCTCTGGGTCCGGAAGCGACGGACGCAGCCCTGAGCGTCGCGGTGGCGGTCAGCACCGCCAGACCCTTCGCAGTCAGTCGAGGAACCCCGGCCGCCGCAACAGGAGCAACACGGCCCGCGGACAGAACGGCGCCCCTCCCGTTCCGACCATGCAAGATGGCCAGCTGGGCGGCGCCGCCGGCGGTGGTGCTGCTGTCGACATGTCGCAAAACCCGGACGCCAAGAAGATTCGCAGCCTGCAGAAAAAGGTGCGGGCCATCGAGGACCTCGAGATGCGTCTCGCCGGCGGCGAGAAGCTCGAGGATACGCAGATGAAGAAGATTACGACCAAGTCGTCCGTCCTCAAGGAGCTCGAGGCGCTTGAGAGGTCGTGAGCGTCGTTAATGGATGATCTGTAGACCAGAAGTCAGTTGAGGAAAAATTGGGCCAATGGGACAAAGGGTGGTATAGCTGTGGGCAAAAGTTGGGTTCACTACAGCCTCGGACTGCATGGCCAGTCGGCCGCAGAAGGCAGGAGGCAGGCTAGGATATAGCTACTGAGGAGATCAGGGGCGCTCCTCGTAGTGCAGGCTCGCTTGGACCACGGCCCGGGGCGAGAGTAAAGCAGTCATCAGGACAAGAATGAAAGGAAGCCGGGCGTCTCGCTCGAGCCTACTGCATACCCTGCGAGCATGTGATGTTGGAACTCTTGTTATCCATTTGAAGCTTTGGATTGGGCCTCAGCTCTGCGAATACACACAACCTGCTGTGGGAGATTCCTTTTTACTTACGAGCAACCCCGTAAAGGTCCTTCGCCATATCTTTAAGTCCGAAAACAACATCAAGGACTCGGAAGCAAAAAGAAAAAAAAAAGAAGAAAAAAAAGCTGATGTGATAGCCTGCTTGAAAGCTCCTTGGTAGGCACAGTGCGAGTGAGCGATGGTCTGTAACTCAACCGGAATCTGAATCCGAATATATCTAGGGTCTGGCGAAAGAAATCTAGCAGCGACTAAAGGGAATGACTGTTGATTTCTCAAGGGGCTTGTAAGGAGGCCCCTGCAGAGCCACGGAGCAGGGGGGCTGGTCAGGGGCTAGGGACTACGAGAACGAGCATATCAGGATTGCGGAGGGCCCTCCCAGCTGCCGGGGGCCAGAATTTAGACATGTTTCGCCCGCATACCTACTCTATTGCCTGCGGACCTATTTCGGAACGTCTCATTCTGTTCAGACCACGCTCTGGCAGGGCTCTAGACAGGTCGAATAATCGATGCCCTCTCTCGAACGGCGGCCCTTTGGCTCTTGTTACGGATGCGAGTAGTGCGGCGTAGCCACTACAGCATAAGGTCTAGCCAACCCAGGGTCGCCGGAATTGACTAGATGCTACGCCTGTAAGGATAGGTCTTCGCAGTTCATGACTCTGTTATATAAGCCATTAACCCCGTAAAACTAAGTAGGTATGTAACAGCCCTCTTTATTACGAGTTCCTCGCTGCGTTCGATCGCTCCTCCTTGCTCTCTACGATACAACCAGGCGGCTTTGCTTTCTACCGTCACTTTATTCTACTTTGAGGCTCATTCAGGATCGCAAGAGATTGTGGGAGGAAATTACAGACGAGGCTGGGACAGAATGACGGTGGCATCAGCTCCCAGATAGCAGGCTGCTAAGACGTGTGTTGCTGACAACCAATGACCGTGGAAATAGTGACTAAATGCGAAGGAAACCGGCTTTTCTGTGAAACAGCCGTCGCCCTGAGATACAAGAGTTCCAATGCCATTCATAGATGCAGAAGCTGCGTGATGATGACGTTGCCAATCTACATCTTGTTCATGAACGAACTGAACGTGTTGGTCGCACAAAGTCACATGCGCAGTTACCCCGCACGACATTATCAATGCCGGACTCTCGGCTGCGGCCTTGGAAGCATCGTCACGAAGCTATCTCATGCCTGACTTTGCGGTCGTAGACTCTGATGCACAATGCCACTAGCCATAGCATCGTCTTCGTCCGCGGGCGTTCAAACTCCGTTAGAAGATGCCGTCAAGGACTTTCAGAGCATATTAACATATCAACAGCGTATAAAAATCAATCGAATCGGCGCCATCCGAGATGCTGAGACAGTCATGACCTTCACTGCTCAGCTGGATATGGAGAACCAGCTGAGGAAGGGTCGCGGTGTTGCCAGTCGTCTCCACACCGTTCTTGAGTCTGTCCAAGCATTCTCCACCGTCGTGGGAACATTCGTCTCGTCCCACCCGGAAATCGCTGCGTTGGTCTGGGGAAGCGTGAAGCTCGCCCTGCTTGTAGGTGATTTGTGGCTTCATGTGTTATCAGGAGCTGACGATCATAGTTGACCGTTAATTACACATCCTATTTCGAAGCGCTCTCTGGTCTCTTCATGGCGGTCAGCAGACAGTGCCCGCGCTTTGCTGAGTACCAAGCTCTGTACCCTGGCTCTACCCAGCTGCAAAAGGCACTTTGCGATTTCCACGCCTCCATAATACGCTGCTGCAAGCACGCCGTGGAGGTGATCCAACGACCCTGTTCGTCGTCTTTGCTGTCGCCATATCAAAGAAGGCGCTGACTTGCCATAGGGCATAAACAACTCTTGCAGTCCTTCAATCAAGAGTTCAAGCCCGACTTAGATGATATGCAAAGCATGGGCAAACATGTGAAGGCTGAGATAGCTCTTGCGATGGCACACGCCGAACGTCAGGACCAGCACCTCCAGAAAAAAGAAAGAGCAGAGGCGTCCAAAGCAAGGTCGAGACTAACAAAGTTCATGCCGACAATGCAGGATGAACTCGAGACCATCAAGAAGATGCAGCTCGAACAATCCACGCGTCGATCCAGTTCGTGTTACCCCGGCGCTAATTGGGTCGGAACTGACTGGCTTTCTAGGGGAGGAGCGGCAGCGACTGCTCGAATATCTGTCATCGCATGATCACAAGACTCCATTCCAGATAGCTCGTAAGAAGCATCAATACAACACTGCGGAATGGATATTCACGACCCCCGAGTTCGAACGATGGCATGATGGAACGGGTCCATCTTTGCTTTGGTGCTCAGGGAAAAGTACGATACAGACCGCTCCTCATTGTTTCTAGGCTAAAAGATGACAGTTGGATCAGGGAAGACTATCTTATGGTAGGCCAAAAGCCCGGCCGCTGTGACGATATAAATACTGACTGTTTGAAGCGCCAATGTTATCAACCATGTCCTCATTAAGAAGGATAGCAAGAACCGTGTCGCGTACTTCTTTTTGCAGTACGATGAATCAAACTCTCTCATGGCTGAAACTATGATTCGATCGATCACACGACAATCTATTGATCCCACAGCATCGCCAGAACAGGTTGAATCACAGATAGAGGAACTACGTCAAAAGCCTTTCGTCCAACTCAGTGAATGGGCAAGCCTTTTCCGAAATAGAATCGAGAGTTCGAGTCTATTCTTCATCTTCATCGACGGTTTAGACGAATGCGACGCCACCGAGCGACGAGCGTCCTTGGACGTACTCTCTTCACTTACTACCGCTGACCCGCGTTTGAGAATATTCATCACCAGTCGCGGCAGTGTCGATAAGGACTTGAGAGACAGGTTCTCACGCATGGAGCACGTATCAATGACGTCCGATTGCGTCGCACCCGATATCTGTCTCTACATTGATGCGGCTGTCGAAGAACGAGTACGAGACGGAGAACTGGTGGTGGGCGATCCTCTTCTCTTCGAAACCATCAAGGAAACATTAAGCAAACATGCTGACGGGATGTAAGTGCCGACTGTCGTCTTTCAAGAGATGCCAGCTAATTCTCCAAGGTTCCTATGGGTCAAATTCCTCATAAGCGATGTTTGCAACGCCGAATGCGATGACGATATTCGGAATTCCTTACTCAACCTTCCCAAAGATCTGGAGACTGCTTTCACTAGGGCATTGTCACGGATCATGTCTCGCCAGAAGATGGTCGAATTGGTCCAGAAAGTATTTCGGTGGGTGGCGGTAGCAAAACGGCCCATGACGCTCCCTGAAATCCGCCAAGCTGTTTCCATCGGAATTGAACAACCATATTGGAGACCCGAGCGACTGGTTCGTGATCTACGCCTTATTACCTTATGGTGCGAAAACCTACTACAGGTTACCGAAGAAGAGCCCATGTTGCTCCAGTTTGCTCACAACAGCATCCGGGAGTTCATAACCGGGGCAGACTTGCCGGTGTCGCTGGCGGGCTTTCATGTTGACTTGAATGAGGCTGACCATTCTGCTGGTGAGATTTGTGTTACGTTCCTCCACTTCGACGACTTCAAGAAAACCATAGACCGACGGCAACAGCCAGTTCAACTCAACACCGCAGCTTTAGTCGACACCGCCCTGCGAGAAGGGCAAAGGGTTGACCAGCTCACTACTCGCTGCGCCAACTTTGCTTTCAGACATCGGAAGGCCAAAACAAACACAGTTCGTAGTGAAGACTTGGCCATTCACAACAAAGTTGATGGCGATAATGATTCAAACAGTCTACAAGACGGTCATCCATTTCTGAAGTACGCCGCGCAGCATTGGATCTCCCATACCTCCAACTTTCAAGAGGGAAAGTCGACCACTTGGCCATTGTGGCAGCAGATTATCACGGATATACCCAGCTTGGCGCTCGTGCCTTGGCAAGGTTCAACGTCACGTACAGAGGAGTACAATACCATGCTTGCTTGGAGTATCCGGACGTATCACGATGCTCTTACGCGATGTGCCTTGAAGCTTTGTCAACTGTCTAGTTTTGACAAGGCTCACTTTCTACGGTCATCTGCTTCCCATCGCAATATAAATGCCATCACAATCTTAATGGAAGATGAAGGATCCCCGATGTATGGCACTGACGATGCGCTTCGAGTAGCATCAGAGGGTGGACATCTTCATGTCGTCAAGAAGTTACTTACCGCTGAAGCTCATGTCAAAGCTGCTGATAGTCGTCAGAAACGGATAGCACTCCAAGCAGCATCAGCAGGTGGACATCTTCACGTTGTCGAATGGCTCCTAGCCGCTCAAGCTAATGTTATTGCTACTACTTATATTAGGCAAACGAAGGCACTTCAAGAAGCATCAAGAGGTGGCCATCTTCACGTAGTGGAAAGGCTACTCGCCGCTAAAGCCGATGTCAATGCTACTAATACTTATGGGAGACGGACGGCACTTCAAGAAGCATCAAGAGGTGGTCATCTCCACGTGGTTGAGAAGCTACTCGCCGCTAAAGCCGATATTAACACTGATAATGCACTTCAAGCAGCATCAGAAGGTGGACATCTTCACGTGGTTGAGAAGCTACTCGCCGCTAAAGTCGATGTTAATACTCCTTCTACTTGGTGGGGAGATACCGCACTTCAAGCAGCATCAGGAGGTGGTCATCTTCACGTAGTTGAGAGGCTACTTGATGCTAAAGCCGATGTTAATGCTGCTGCTAGTAAACGGGGAGGGACGGCACTCCAATTAGCATCAAAAGGTGGCTATCTTCACGTTATCGAACGGCTCCTCGCCGCTGGTGCCGACGTTAATGCTGCTGCTAATGAATGGGGATGGACGGCACTCCAATTAGCATCAGAAGGTGGACATCTTCATGTTGTCGAACGACTACTCGCCGCTGGTGCCGATGTTAATGTTGCTCCTGCTCGTAACCGGGGACGGACGGCACTCCAAGCAGCGTCAAGAGGTGGTCATCTTCATGTTGTCGAACGGCTACTCGCCGCTGGTGCCGATGTTAATGCTGCTGCTAGTACTTATCATGGAACGACAGCGCTTCAAGCAGCAGTGATGAGTGGTCACGACCAGGTTGTTAATCGACTAATAGCCGCTGGAGCTCAAGACTCCCGAAAATCTTACTGATGAATATATACTACTATGAGATACTGTGGAAACCAGCTGTTCCGTAGTAGGGAAGCTATCGAGCTTATTTGAACCCTTCTGCTGTGTTTATTTGCTGACCATAATGCGTGTGAACTATGAAGTGGCCAATTTTTTGGTGACATCACCGATTGCCTTGTCCCACAAACGGAGCTTCGATTTGAGTTGGTTGAAGCCAGTGGACTCTGCGCTACCCACTTGCATTATTTATGCATGCCACCAGTGGGCTCAGATTTTCCTAATGCTGGGGAAAATCTGTCTGTTTTGAAACAACGGCGAGAACGGACAGAGTGTTAGCTGTGACACAATGAGCTGGCATAAGTCTGCTGCTACAATACTTGGATGAGAGGTTGACTTCTGCTGCACTTTCGGATTCAGACTTGACGTCACAAGCCAGCACAATGCAGCGAAGAGCTTCACTGCCGAGTGCAGCTAGACAAAATGATGTAAACCAACCAAGGAGGTTGACCAAGGCCGAGAGCAACCACGAATACTCTTCGCTGTTCTACTGGAGACGTTTCAGAGGCGAAGAAAGCATCTCACCTTGACCTGCCAGCCACAACCGTATTGTTTTGGTGGACCCTTGCAAGGGATCGCACCGAAAGTAGCGTCCCAGATGTCTAGCCCGGCCTTTTTCGCACATACTTAATCACTGTCGGCAAGTAGCAGAGCCTGTTGAAGGGATGGTTGAGTGAGCTGGGTTGAGTGGTTGGTTATGATGATCTAGGGAGAGCCGAGAAGATTCTCGGCGCGTTTCAACCATTTTCTCTTCGATCCAATTCGTCGTAGCCTTTCACCACGGAAGTCATGAAAGACTCGAGCAGTTGGCTGAGGTTGAATGAGCACCGAGGGGGTTCAGGCATCTAGATCCATGCACCCGGTGCGGATGGGTTGCCCCTGACCAAGTGTCATGTTGAGTTAAAAACTGAGTGTGAGGTCTTCTACTGGCCGCTTCTGCAGTCAGTTGTTGTGCATGGCCCGAAAGAACATCTGAAGTATGCCCCCCCGCGGTTAGGATAGCCTGTATGAGCCTCCCCAGTCTCGTGCTCCTTGATCAAATGATCAGCGGGGGGACGGCGGTATGTCGTCCTAATGCAGTGCTGGCTGAAGAAAAGAGAATGTCACAGGTCGATAAGGGTATGAGCAGCAAGGTGAGCTCAACAAGACTATTTGAACAGGCTGATCAAAACACATAAAAGTAAAGACATCTGGGTCCGTGTGAGGCCAAGTCCGTTTGTGCTCGGACTGGGATCTCCCCAGACACTTGTTAGCTCAGTCGAATATATCGAATCAGGCTGAGGAAAAAGTACGAGATAAATGAAGGCCGCGGTCGATTGACTCCGTTCAGCAGCAGGCCCGTCAGTCAGAATCCTTAGTACCTCGCACATCAGGGCTTGTCATCATCGCAAGGTGGTATTCCCGTCACACGGCCTCTGTATGAGCCTTGAGATATGGTGCCAGCAGCCACCTAGAGCGCCCTCCGATAGATGTAGGAGAGGGGTTCGATTGAGAATGGAAGCTCCGAGTTCCGGGCTCCGCTTGGCCCCGTACCCGGCGCCTCGCCCGCCTGACGCCTCAGGGCTCCAGTAGCCGGGCGGGCATTGGCTTTCCTCTCATGATGTATGTGAGGCGTAGGAGCGACAACCCTGCAGCCCATGGGCCCGCTGCCAGATATATACTCCATATTGTTCTGCCGATGAATGGAGACCGAGATGCATTGTCGACCGGGGCGCGCAGGTCATTGGGCAATGGAGAGAC